GTGCTGGCGGTATAATTGCTAATGGCTCGGAATAGAAAATCGGAGAGCCGCGTTCAAGTTATGTTCCCTTACGCGCAAATAACCTTGTGAAAAGAAGGAATCCACTTATTCTCCCCTCCGGCTATTGGTTAATTAGTTTGATCAGGATTATCTCCAAAACGTCTTACAATCTTAAAATGTGCTCTGGCTTTAAATGACCTGCAAACAGTTGACGACCTGTCAAAAGAAAGCTAGCCACTGAATCATTCTAAGCTCACACCCACCATGTTTTGAACGAGTAAAGATACATCCCGTCTTTCTTTTTTAAGACTGTTTCCGATTCCTTCTAATGTTTGCCTCAAATCTATACTTCTAACATCGTCAGCTAAACTTTGAAATTATATTTACTAATTATTTATTATTATTTGTTTTTATTTTATGTTATTTTTCTTCTACTCAGTAGGTTTGCCTATCACCCGGTTCACACTCTTCTCCGTTATTTAGAACAGGTGTACTGTTTTATCCCTTCTTTCCTTTTTAGGTTTGAATTTTTCAGTTTCATCTGAAGTCTTGAAATCAGAATTTTTATTTACAATTTCTTTCCTCAATAGGAGTAGATAGGTTCACCTATCGTCCGGTTTTTTATCTTCACCCGGTCTTTTGAAATATTATAGATGTTTATCACATGTTCCCTGTCTAGTATTATATTTCCGGTTCCTTCCATGTCTTTATATTCTCATTAACTACCAGTAGCTTCTTGCGTCTTAATGGCATTATCGTCTTCCTTGGGGTGAATTGATTTTTTTTTAAAAAGTGTTGTCATATTCATCGACTTATTTCCAACAAAGTCTAAATAAACCTGCTAATGCTCAAACCGGCTTACACAAGGCTTAAATGGAAGACGTGGATTCGTTCCATTTTCAATGATATTTCTGCGTATGTGAACGCAAAAGTATCTGTCAGAATTTGAACCTAAAGACACCGATCTCATTCTCCGCGCAGAGAATTTCTGCAATTTCCTCACATCGATATCATTCTTTCTTTTATGTGTCTTATCCTTTCAGGACGTTGGCGATCATGGCTCTCCACCTCTTCCTCTATCCCTTGCAGTTCTCAACAAGTTCCTTCCTTCTGTTTCCTCCCCAGACCACGTTCTGTCATCCACTTGCTTAAGGCCGCCATGTATGTCACGCATTGTTTTTCCTTGTCTCTCTTTCCCTGTATTTGACCCGTGAGTATCAGATTCTTCAGACCCTCCTTCCTCATTATGTGTCCCAGAGACTTCAGCTGCCTCTTTCTGATGTTAAGTATAAGCCTCCTCTTTGTTTGCAACATGTCTAAGATCTCCTCGCTGCTCACATGCTCGGTCGATGATATCCTTTGCATTTTTCTGTAGAACCACATCTATGTTGCCTTGAGTATCTTCTCCATCTTTGAGGAAATCGTCCAATATTCACTGCCGTAAAGAAGGAGAGATGTCACGTAACGGTTCAGTATTCTTTTCTTTGTTACTAAAGATATACTCCTGTCAATATCAATGGTTAACGGAATGTCGAACAGACTATTAAATATATGCGAGGCGAGATTACTAACTTCGTCTCAAGAAAGCTTTAATTTTCATTATTTACATTATTCGGACTATTGTCCTGATCTTTGTCGCCATATTTATTACAACGTTTCGGCCGTTGAAAAGTCGAACTGAACCCTTTATTTCGCTCACAGAAGGAGCATACTACGGCCGAAACGTAATAAATATGGCAACAAAGATGAGGTCCATGGTCCAAATAATGTAAATAGTGTGCATAATACCTCATCTCAGAAATATAGACAGATACTTTAACTTTCAATTTAGAATACCAATACATTTCCCCCTTCGCCAAAATTCTTCAGTTTCTCTCTATTTTATTTGTGTAGCATTATATTTGTAACAAATACAAATAACTGCATTTTCTCTCGAATACCTTTTCTGTCTAAAATTCATCCTAGGACTGGAATTCATCTCTCCAGATTTGAAATTCCTTCCTTGTGAGCATCCCACCTAAAATTATTGCTCAAGATCAAAGCTATAAATATAAAGCAATTAATGAAAATAGAGCAAACATTTAAGAACATGGGCAACCATGGCTCTCCACACTATCCTATCCTTTATATCACTTAGCAAAGTTTTTCTAGTGACTATCCTTCCCAAACGCTGTTCGACAAACTATTTACACAAGCTCGTTAGGTATGTTAGTCGCTGTAACTCTTACCTCCAATATGTCTTTGTGCGCGTTGAGTTTCATAACCCTTCTTTACTCAATGTATATTTTAGATATTTCAGATGATTCTAATAAAACTCATTAGAATATTAATTATATGTAAAGTAATAAAGAAACCGCATCTAAATGTATAACTGAATTCAAATGTACTTGTTTTTACCATGTTGATAGATTGATTTTTTTACGGTTCATCAACCGTTTTGAGTTATTTAAAATCGAAATTCGGATTGTTGGAAGTTGATTGCAGTACACGACGTGTTCCATCAATCCCGTGTAAGGATACAAAAGGCGATGAGGTGAATTCAAGAGGGCCACGTGATGTCTGGTGAGTGACGTCAGGGGATAAAGGCGGTTACGATGTACAGTCCAAAGAAGATGGATGTCACCATGCCACAGCGGTACGTCTTACAGGAAAAAACACACGACCTCACCAGTTTCAAAGAGAAACCACTATAAGTCCAGCTGACCCCTCTGTAAATAGTACAAGTAAGAAAAACAGTTTTATGATTGCACACTAATTGTTGTTGCATACATATTATAATTTTGTGTGGCACAAATTTATATACGTATATATCCTTTTGTGTGTGATTTTGCAGCATAAAACACTCTCTGAGAGAAAAGCATATTTGTCATTTACTTTTTTTCCGTTACCTCTGTAAAATAAGGTGTTATTATACCATGGCTATTATTACATTACATTATTATTTACATTATTCGGACTCATCTTCATTTCCATATTCACAACGTTTCGTCTGTTATATGCTCCGGCCTTGTTCAGGTGATTGGAATATCGAAACGGACCCTTTATTTCGCCCACCGGGGTAGATTGTTCCAGTTCCACGTGCCATGTCTCTTCCGGATGTCTCAGTTATTTACCTTTGATTTAACTCTCCAAGGTTTTTGGTTCATCACTATTGAACTCACAACTCTTTGGGTCTAGTTACTGGATCTAACCAACGCTTTTATACACTTGGCAATGTCTCGTTTCAGGGATTTATAAACTTATCTTAGCAACCGTTTTTACCAGTGCTCATATTGCAATTTTTCGTTATTGTTATTGCATATTTTTCCAGAGCTTATATTTCATTTTTGTTGTTGTTAATCATTGCTTTTCTCTATCAATCCTTATTACTGGTTCCCATATTGTATTCATTTCTATGCTTTGTCGGGGCGTACAACGGCCGTAAGGTTGTGAATATGGCAATGAAGATGAGGATAACAGCCCAAATAATGTCGTTATATAGGAATAAATTGTCGTTGCCAACACATGAATTTTAACATAGTTCGCCAGTCAGCAAACACAGGCGATCTCAATATTTAATTAAGTGGATCACGTGACATGTGAGAAACGCATAGGTAGGGAGTAATTTGGCGTCTAATTGATCGTCATTTCTAGTCTGTCCTCTATTACTATACGGACTGCTGTTCTTTTCTCTATACTATTCTATATTCAGATCATTATACGGTGGTTATTTTCCGAGCGAGTATTATCGTGCAAATACTATTAGTGCGAGTGCTATTCGAAGGCGTCTGACACCAGTACTGTTCAATGGCGTACTATAGTTGAATTGGCGATTACAAAGTCTCTACTACAATGACCATTACGAAATTGACAACGAGAATTTATTGACATTACAATAGTGGCAACGAGCGTTCACTGATATCAGAAAATAGAAATAATGCAAATAACCATAATACCTCATGTAAGAGATATATATGTATATATCACAGCTTTAATCATAATAACAGGTTACGATATTGCTTAACTTCTGTGATTGAACGAGAATTAGTGTTGCCAATGCAAGTGTTCTTTTCACCAAAATGTTCGAATATCTGCAGATTTGTAAAGACACTAATAAGAAAAAGAAATTAAAATAATTTTGTTGCAAAGATCTTCGTATATTCATACTGTTGTAAGTATCTGGTTTGTTTAATTTTTAGACAGGAGTATCTTCCCGTGCAAATTCTGTTTCCGTTTGCACAGAGAGAATGCTGGCAAATCTTGACAAAGCAAATATGATAAATCAATTTCTTTCTTTCACATTTTCTTCTCTGCTAAACTTCTGTTCAAAACTTATGTGGGATTGTATTTTGAGGTCTGACGTAATTCTTATCATTAATCTATGTGTGCTTTATTGAAAATCTCCGTCGGTTAAAACATTATTGTTTTATTATGATTCTAAACCTTTGTATTATATTTGTGCTTAATCTCTTGAAGAACTGTATGAGATTAGAATGATTTTATTATGAGGAGATGCTAAACAGTTGTCTGTCACACTGAGACACAACCTGAAAAAAATCCTTTCCTGTTCAGATTTTGCTAACAAATTGCAAGCCGAGAATTTTTCAGCATACCTACTTATGATTATGTTCGTAATTTAGTTTGCATTAACACACACTTATATATATATATATATATATATATATATATATATATATATATATATATATATATATATATATATATATATAATATATATTTAAAAATATTAAAATATTAATACTCTGTAAATTTACATTGAGCACTATTTTGTAAAAATTAAAAAAATATATCAATAAAAACACCGGATTACATATCTTACTGTTCTTTTATTTCTTTATATATATATATATATATATATATATATATATATATATATAGAGAGAGAGAGAGAGAGAGAGAGAGAGACAGAGAGAGAGAAAGAAAGAGAGAGATAGTTAGATATATATATATATATATAGAGAGAGAGAGATAGATATTATATATATATATATATATATATA